CGGGCGGCACGGCATGCCCGCGTTCGGCCCCGGCCCCCCGCGCCCACCGGTGCGCCCGTGCGCCGCGGGGAGGGGGCGGCCGGCGCTCTGCGGGGAGTGCTGGTTTGCGCCGGGGCTTTGAGGTTCCCGCCGCCTCGGCTCCGGCTCCCCGGGGGGGCGGGGCCTGCCGGCCGCCGCGCATGCCTCATGCAGCCCTGCGCCGCCGAGAAGGCGGGGGCTGCCGGCGCCGGAGCGGGTTGCGAGGGCGCATGCTCGGGAGAGCCCTCCCCCGAGGTCGGGGAAGCCCCCCGGCTTAGCGGTGCTTGGGCTTTGTTTGCAGCTTGTGGTCTGAGGCTGCAGGATGCTTGGTGTGGGCTCTCTTGTGGCCCCCCAGTGAAGCAGCATCTCCCGGGGGCTGCATGGGCTTCACTTTGCTCAAATCTTAATTAAGGTCTTGGCTGGCTCATCCTGCGAGCCTGCAAAACCTTGCGGGGCCAGAGATAGGAACCTGCGGTCCACATCATCCCACCAGAACTTTGTGCAAGTTTGGTGCGGTGTGGGACGGACGTGCTTTTGAGAAGAGCATCAAAGCTTTCACCAGATTCTCAGATAACCCCAAGAAAGAGTAAGAGCTTCCTGTTGGGGCTTGGCGTCTCACACTGAGAGGATCGTTTCTCTTCTTGTGTCCATGTTCCTTGGGGTGTTTAAGGGTTAACAACAGTACCAGAGTGCTTTCCCCTAGAGGAGCTCAGGCAGTGTTTAAATGGTTAGAAATAATACCTTTTCTGCATCCACTTTATAGATAAGGAAACTGGGGCACAGTGTGAGGGCCTTGTCCAAAATCATGGATGGAACTAGATTTCCAAATGATGTCACCCATAATGCGGTGGCCAGTTGTACATGCGAAAATGCTTTACGTAACTGCCTTCCCAGGAAAGGGTTAACACATTAGGTGCAGAAGACACTGACATGTCTTGCTGCCAAAAGGTCTCACCTGGGGTCCTGGATCAGGACAGTGGCAGAGTAGCCAGGAACTGGAACACAGGAACTGATTTCCTTTGACAGTTCACATCCACTGTGCCAGAGTCCAGACATTTGCCCTGCAGTCACACTGTTAGGACAAAACTAAAAAGAGGCTTCTGCCTCTCCTGTATTCTATTTTGAGTGAGTTTTCAAAAAGCAAGACTGTGTTTGAATATCTGCTTCTGTCAGCTGCCCAGCTCCAGTTGCCGATGCATTTTGTTGTCAAGAAGTAAGAGTCTTACCCCCCTGCTGAGTCTCACCGAGAAGGTAGGCACTGGCTCTCCACCCAGCCCACCTCTGCGTCTGCCTCCGCCTCCACCAGCGTGCATGAAGCCGGTCTGTCTCGTGGAAATGGCACATTTGTTAATCTTACTGGGAGGTTCTGTTGCTTTCTGAGTAGACAACAGCAGCTCTTTGCAGTTTATATTTGTTTTATATTTACACATAATGTAGCTTTTAAATTCCTGTTAATGCACATACATGTATATAAAAGGAAATAGGTATGTGCATAAGCAGGAATTTAAAAGCTACATATTCCTTCCTCCGTCCCCGTAGAAAGACCAAGAGGGCCTGTTAGACAGATTGCTTTGGGCTAGTCAATGCACTGTCCTAGGATAAGAGCATCCAGGAGACTCGGAGTTCAACAGAAGATGCTGTTTTATGCCCCTCAGAAAGTGCACACCCAAGTTTAAGTTTTCATTAGCAACTATTGAGTTTGGCCCAGAGGTAGGGCTGGGCCCATGTAGCCCTGTTGCCTTTCCATAGGCCTAGCCTGGCACTCTGCCCCTTGTCCTAAATTGGCTTCCTGCCCAGTATCCCTGGCTCCAAGTTCCTGGTCTCCCTCTTCTGAGCAGGCCTGGGGACCCCGTCTGCTGCCACAGGCCACCAGCAGTCTGCAGCTTGTTTCAGAAAGAGCCTTTTTACTGAGCGTTTTGCAAGCCTTGCCACTGTTCAGGGCTGCTTGAAGGAGGTTTGTGTGAGAGTAGCTGCCTTGGAGTCCTCTAAAAACCGTCAGTATTGCCTTCAGTCACCTCAAAGCTGTGCATGCTGGGATGGTGGAAGGTGACCCAGTGCTTACGTTGTTGAGGGGCAAAGTTGCCTTGAGTAAAAGATGAGTGTTCTTACGTTCAGTCTCGGAAAATGCTCGCTCTGAGGACCTGGGGTTTGGGTATAGTTATGTCAGATGAGCATCTTGTCATTGTCTAGGGTAGATTCAGCCCTGATTCCTTATGAACCTCATAACCTTGTAAAGCAGGTAAAGCCAGCAGCCTTGGCCAAATCCTAGAAAACAGGTGAGTGTCACGCAGGCTGCCCAGGTCTTTGTAGTTTTCCCAGTCTTGGGTTGCTAAGGTTTTGTGGACCCTGAGACAGATCTGTCCAATCTGAAAAGAACAAATAAATACAACTGAACACCGGGCGTGGAGCTGTTTCAGTTGATAGCCCATTAGGGAATTCGTTGCTGCCGGCATTTCTCTCAACAGTCTTCCTGCCTTCAAGAGCAGTGGTCTTCTAAATGGGGATATGTTAAAAGGTTGACTCTCGGCCTCATAAGCATGCTCCTTGTACTTGGGCCGTAATTCAAAAATTGCTTTGGAGCAGAAATCCCATTTTGTTGATTGAAGAAGCTCAGTGCCTTTTGCTGCCGTGGCCGTCCATCTTGGCCCCGCTTACGTGTCTAGGTTGCTGGGAGGCAGCAAGGCGAAGTGAAATTCCCTCATCAACACAGCAGTGTTGCAGACCCTGAGTTCTTCCAGAAAACAATCTCTTGGCCCGTCAGTGAAGGCTGCTGCAGCCTCAAGGCTACATGGCCTCCTGACACCTGCGCTCACTGGAGCCCTCTGGATGGAGCCAGCAGCCATCGGGGCCTCTCTCCCTTGGGATGGGCTGTTTAGGTCTGTGGGACATTCGGGGTTCTGTTCTTTATTTAATTTTTTATTCCATATAAGGTAGAAGGAAGAGTTAAGTTACAGAGAGAGAGAAGTAAGTGGCTTCTAGCAAACAATTGTTAGGAAATGCAGTCACCTCCATCTAATGTGGGGGGAAATGTGGTCCATGACAAAAAACCTGAGTAACAGTTAATGCCCTTCCTAGGAATCAGACCACTGTCGCTGGAGTGGACTCGGTACACCAAGGCTTTCCCCACACACCCTTATCAGAAAGGTTGGGGTTTTGCATAAGCGCTTAGCTGGCTTGATGGGCCAGTAGCCATGAGCCCTTGACCAGATGTGCAGGTCACCTGGGAAACCCCGCTACCGCCCCGGTTCTGGCGGTCTCAAAACGGCCCATGCCCTCTGGCCTGAAGGAGCAGTGGGTCCTGGGGTGGCTGCAGCTCTGGCGAAGTTTTGCCTTAGTGAGTGCCTCGCGGTGTTGGTGGTTTGTCTTCAGCAGCGAATGCTGAGCACAGGTGCCCTTGAACCTCTGCCTGCCTGGGGAGGCTGCCTGGCCTGGAGTTGCTGGCATCCTGGTGCCCTGTTCCCAGCAGCGCCCCCTCCCCCAGGGCCTTAGCGCCCTTCCCGTTTCTTCTGTCCCCTCCGCACGACTTGAGGAATAGTAGAGCGCAAGTCAGTGACTTGGGCAGAGAACCCAGGGACCTCTCTTTCCACGGGGACTTTGGCAGAACCCACTGGCTGTAGACCTGTAGAATATTCCAGCCAAGCCTGCCAGTTAAACAAAGAAGGGGAGATAACCAGGGGAAACTCGGCTCCGAGTCAAGTAATCCGAGTCTGGGTGCCGCAGGGTTGGACTACCCCTGACTGAGGGCGTTCTCTAAATAATTTAAATGTGGCCGAGTTGTGCTCCGTTCCCGTGCTGTTTCGTTTCCCCTTTTCGTGCCGCCTGCAGGATGTGTTCTATAGATTGACCGTCTTCTTCCTGCCACATATATGTGGCCCAAAAGGCAAGGGGAACAGGACCCACACTGGCGGGGGGACGCCTGTAACATCAGGTTTGGGTCAGGTAAAGTTCCCTAAGAAATGGAATTTGTTGATGGTGAAGATATGTAATGTTAAACACGGGTGAACCGTGTCGTCAGAACATGCAGCAGGGCAGTCGCCACGTAGAGGTTAGGGTGATCGGACCTGGAGCTGGCCTTTTTTCTTCAAGCCTTCCGAGAACAACTCCGTACGTAAACAGAAGGAAACTTTCCTCTTCGCGTCCTGCGGTGGCGATGAGAGGAAAGCAGACAGAGAGGTCGACACTTGCCTTGCCAGTAAGCGCTGAGTGGGTCGTTCAGAATTGAGTCTTTGACTAACAATCCACTTTAAAAGTGTGTTTTGACATTTAAGGAAGCGAAATGCTGAGAATATTACGAGTGCCACCCAGAATTGGACAATGGCATCTTTAAATGGCACAGATTGTCATTGATAGTCTTGAGAGTTGGTGGCCGTAACGACTTTCTATGTTGAGAGAATGAGAATCGAAGTGCACTGGCTGGTGTGACAGCCTGTCCCTCAAGAGGCCAGGCCCTGGGGAGGTCCCCGTTTCCCTTGCTTGGTCCCCTGGCTCGTGGACAGCTGGGCGAGTGAGCCATCGAAGGCCGCTTGCGTCAGATCCTCCCACACCCTTGTCTTCCTCCAGTGGAGAAATTGAACACCATCCTCTGCTGTTTTCCTTCCTGATTCCCCACGGACAGGCTCTTGGCACAGTGGGCAGCAAACGGAGGGACGGCAGGGAGGGCGCCTGTGGGTCTTGGCCATGTGGAAGTGACTTGGGGCTCTCGGGGCTTGAGGTCCACAGGTGGAGCACTGTGCTCGCTGTGGGAGAGTGTAGACTTGGCCCTCAGGATGAGCTGGTTTTAGTACCTGCCGAGCGACATGGCTGGCTTTGTGCATAAATCTCTGTACGTCACTTTGCAGAGTGGAGGGGAGGAATGCGATTCGGCTTAATTTTTAGTGTTTTGCAAAAGCTATTTTAAAGAAAAGTCAAAGAATAAAGATGAGCCTAGGCGTACAAGTGAGCTGCTGTGGACAGGTTTGAGGTCACCCACATTTTGCAAGGTGCTGATGAGGGGGTGATTGCAGGCTCTGTCCAGGTGCATAGCTCCCCCAGGTGACACAAGCATTAACTATGAATTGTTTTCCTTTTTTTATTGCTGTTGTTGGACAGTCTCGGAAAACTAGAAGCAACCTTAAAAGCTAATACTTTTCTCTTTCTCTGTTTCTGCAGAAACTTGAAGGGTCAAAGTGCAAAGGGCAGCTTTTGATTTTTGGGGCAACCAACTGGGACTTGATTGGTCGAAAAGAAGTGCCTAAACAGCAAGGTACGAGAACAGTTTCTAAAAATCCATTGAGTGCTTCCTACGTGCTAGGTGTCCAGTGCAGTTCTGGTGACCACCTGCCAGGTAGGTATTCCTTTCATTCACAAAGAGGCCAGGTGACTTGGCGGAGGTCACACAGCCACTATAGTGATGGAACTGGATTTGAACCCTGGTCTCAAGTCTCTCACTTCACAGTCCTGCTTTTAAAAAAAAAATTCCTTTAAGATTAAACAGGAAAATACAAATAGTATCTTCATACGAGCATTGACACCTTTTCCATCTTTCTCATGCCACTTTCATGAAAACGAAGAGGCTGGTCCTGTGAGATGGTGTCAGAATGTCCTAGGCATTTGTCAAATGTCAGACATTTCAGAAGAGTCCATATTTCTTTGCAGGCTGCCAAATTGTCACAGGAAGTGGTTTGACAGAATAGTCTGGAGAGAGGGGAGCAGAGAGGTCCTGAGACGTAACTGTTTGTCCCCAGCCGTCTTTAGAAAATTGGTGTCTATACTCAGGGGAAACGGGCCCATCCAAGAGAAGGCAGGCTGGCACATAGCCACATTTTATGGCTTCTTGATTTTATTTGGAAAGATTCCTAAAGTACTTCCAACATTGCTTTGCCCCATGAACAAATATTTGCACACTGGCACGCCCTAGCGCCTTAAAACAGGGGCGTTGGAGATCATCTTGTTCCGTGAAAACCGCAGGCGTCTCAGCAGTGCATGGTCCAGCTGGGTGAGCAGTGGGTCTCAGCCGCAGGTGGCAGCGCCGCCTCTTGTGGAAAATGCTCAGCCTTCAGGACCAGCCCGTAGGGGCCACGTCCACACCGTGGCTGGTGTCCCAGGAAGTACCTCCTGGTCTGCGATGACATGAGCCCCACGTGCTGACGGTGGCTCTGTGCCCGTGTTGCGTCATCTCTCAAAAGCTGCTTCTGAGATGAGCGGCCCGCTCGCAGTCAAAGACACACAAACCCAAGGAGGGGAAGTAAATTCCAGAAGGAAGCAAGTGGCAGGGCCTGGGTCGGAGCCAGGTTTGCTCCATTGCCTCCTGCAGATGCGGCATGCAGCGGAGCTGCTCAGGGCAGCGGAGGAGCGAGCGCCCCCCATCAGCACAGCCTCCCCCCAACTTCTGGGAGTTTACAGAGGCAGGACAGCCGCCTGGGGTCAGAAGCAGACTCTGCTGCGCTCCGTTTTGCCCTAATGGGCCTCATTTGAAGAATGCCTTTCTGTCTGCCCCCATTTCCACCTCTGCTTCCCTGGTTTTTCTCCATCCGAATGAAGGCTTGTGTCATTTTCAAGTATTTTTAAATACCTTTAGGCCTTCTGTAGCCTTGGCCAGTAGACACAGAGGGAAGATTTGTTTCCCCACTGGTGCCAAAAGCAAAGGGAAGAATTTCCCTGCCCCCGTCTCCTCCATCCTTGCAGGGCCTTCCCCCAGGGCCCGGTGGACCCCGCGTGTACATTGCAGCGGATCTGGTAGGGTGGGCAGCACGATGTCTTGTTCCCTCGTGAGACAGCCCAGTGAGCCACGCTCTAGCTCTGTGATTGGAACCAGGCCCCAGGGATCTGGAGGCTGCGGGAATTAGCATCCATCAGCCTGGCTGTGGAGCCCAAGACTGCTACAGGGGTTCAGTTTGACTCGGACCCCCTAAACGGTTCCATGGGAGGCCAGGAGGAACCCAGCCTTGCCTCTCTTGTGAGCTCATGGTGTCCTGGGCTTTGCTATTCCTAGAGCCGCTGCAGGGAAAGATGCTTTGGCAAATCTGTGAGCATCTAACCACCTGGGCCAGGTCATGCCACGTGCCAGGCTGGGCCAGGTAGGGCACCATGTACTGCCCCGACCGTAACCCCTGACGCCGTGAGCTGTTGTAACACGTAGTTATTGGTCCTTGTCAGTCATGCCACTATTTCGCTTTCATGACAGACACCTTAAAGGGTTTTGCTTTTTTTTCTCCTGCTCTGGTTTTTTTTTTTTTTTGGCAGGGTCACTGTTGCCCAGGCTGGAGGGAGTGATCCTTCTGCCTCAGCCTCCCAGGTGGCTGGGACCACCACCCCCAGCTGATCTTTCTTTAATAGTTACCCAAACCTCACGTCATTTAGGTGCCTCCTTAGGTTTCTTGTGAGAAGTTTTAATGAGGCCGTTGTTTTTTGTTTGCTCTTTCCCTGGAAATTGATTTTCTTTGCACCTTTAAGTAGAGCGGTGTCCTGGGGCGCGGTGCCTGCACGCCTGTAACTGAATGAGGGGGGCCTGTGGCGCCCCCTGCTGGGGGCTGAAGGTGGGCATGGACAAGCACTTCCAAGATACTTTTGCAGGGAGCTGGGACTGACGGAAAAATCATAGTGTTTTAATCGTTTCCCACAGCCCGAGCAATCCGACATGCTTGGTTGGGCGGTGGCTAGCGTTTCAAGAGTCACCACAGGCCGGGCGCGGTGGCTCATGCCTGTAATCCTAGCTCTCTGGGAGGCCGAGGCGGGCAGATTGTTTGAGCTCAGGAGTTCGAAACCAGCCTGAGCAAGAGCGAGACCCCGTCTCTACTAAAAATAGAAAGAAATTAATTGGACAACTAAAAATACACAGAAAAAATTAGCCGGGCATGGTGGCGCGTGCCTGTAGTCCCAGCTACTGGGGAGGCTGAGGCAGGAGGATCGCTTGAGCCCAGGGGTTTGAGGTTGCTGTGAGCTAGGCTGAAGCCACGGCATTCTAGCCCGGGCAACACAGTGAGACTCTGTCTTAAAAAAAAAAAAAAAAAAAAAGTCACCACAGTCCTGGAAACACTCACGGGAGCCCCAGAGTGAAAAAATTAAGCTAAAAATCAGCCATGTTTCTGTCCACTAATAGGGTGCAGTGGGGCTTGTGACATTATTGAGCCCTTACTGTGTGCCAGGCATTTCTGAGGCCCTAGGCCAAAGAGGGAGACCACAGCTGTGGCCCTCAGGTGGCTTATCACGGAAGGGGTCGTCACGGGAGCACGCAGGGGGAGTGCCGCGGTAGGCCGTGCAGGGCTGGGGTGGGGCGATTTCTGAGCCGCCTTCCAGAGGAGGGGCGTGTGACCTGCACGCTGAGGAACAAGTAGGAGGTGGGAGGGACATTCTGGGGGAAGTGACTATGTGGGCAGCCACACTGGGAGGCCTGGGAAAGGAAACTCAAGGGGCAGGAGGCAGAGCCGGCTCAGCAGGGCCCTCCTGGAAGGGCCAGATAGACCTGCTAGGAGGTGAGGTGGTTCCCAGGAGGATGGGGACACTCAGGGTCACAGCTTGGAAAGAGCCTTCTGGCTACAAGGGGGAGGCCTGAGGAAAGCGTGGGCAGGGAGGAGGGGCAGGGTGGCAGGGGGCGAGGAGGTGATGCAGGTTAGGGGACAGGTTAGGGCTATAGGGCAAGGGAGCTTCCTGGGGTCTGGCACTCAGCCCGCCCCGCACTTGCAGGTGGGCATGCTCAGCAGTGCATACGGGTCCGCGCCATGTGTGAGGTCAGGGCCAGAGATGCAGGTGGTGGCTGGCCGTGCCCGGCCCAGCCAGCTCCTGGGGCGGTTTGTCCCTTGGAGGCATCGCAGATATTCAAGAAGCAAACTCGATCCTCATGTGGCTCCAGACTGCCAGGTTTCTGCCATTGGGAAGTGGCCCCTTGGTGGCTAGTGACGCTTTGAGGGGGGTATTCTTCCCCTACCACCCCTGGGTGTTGATCCAAGTTCTTCTCTTTGCAGCTGCTTACCGCAATCTCGGGCAGAATCTGTGGGGGCCCCACAGGTATGGGTGCCTGGCGGGGGTCCGGGTGCGGACGGTGGTCTCTGGCTCGTGTGCTGCGCACAGCCTCCTCATCACCACGGAAGGGAAGCTGTGGAGCTGGGGTGAGTACCTCTCTCGAGCTGTCCCCGTGCAGGGCTGCTGCTTGCCTAGAGGAGAGAGCAGGACCATCTCTGAGGCCGGGCTCTGTTGTTAGCAGCCCCCATTTTCTCGTCCTAATTTTGAACTAGTCTGGTCTGTACCCTACAAGTGAGCCCCCTTTATCCCCCCTTTTGATGTTTTTCTGTGCATCCATAGCCCCCTCATTCTATGATTCCTTGTCTTGAAGCAGCCTCTTCCCGAATATTCTGACTGAAGCTTGATCTTTCTGATACCGAGGGGCCTAAACCCCAAAGCCTGTTTTATTTTAAGTGAGCTGTCCTCCAGTGGACAGTCCCTTCTTGCGTTGCAGCACGGTGTGACAAAAGATCTCTGTTCTTGCCACTCTGAATGCACTGGCTTTCATACCTTGCACATCCTGTCGGAGGCAGGGAAGGCACTGCGTCTGCAGCCCCGGCCATCGTTCCTGGGCTTCACGTGGGGTCGTTTGTATCTCACCGCCCAGTTCGTTTCTTACGTTTCCCCAGATACTCTGGTTTCCTTTTTCGGAGTAGATTTGCTTTCCCTTCTGCTGCTTTCCTCACCTGGGCACTTGGGATGGGTTCCCTGTCCTTGCTTGGTAGTATCTCCTCTTTGGTGTCAGTGTGCTCTGCAGATGGCTTTCCTATTTCCTCTTCCAGATCATTAATAAGGTATTGACTAAGGCTCATTTTATTCCCAAGTCCTTCTGGTAGCTCCTGGACTCTTCTTCCAGCTGGGTATGTTGGCATTTGTCCCCACCCTTTGTTTCTGGTCCTTTGGCTAGCTTTTAGTCCATATGACTGCATTTTTATTTCGGTCTGTTTGAACCATTTTTTGTGATTTCATGAGCTGCTGTACCAAAGTCCAAATATATTAACATCTGTTGTCTTCCCTGCACTCTGCTAATTTTGTAATTCTGTTGAAAAAAAAAACTAACAAGTGTGTCTGGCCCAAATTTATACTTTATAGTCTCTTGATGACATGCTGACATTGCCACGATTTTTCTTTTCTCCCAGTTGGCACCAAGGTGTATCCCTGCTCCCAAAGCACCCCTCCTGCTCTTGTTTCAACACTGCACACAGCTTTCATGTCAGTGTTCCAAACTTCAGCTATCTCATTTCTCCTCTCTTTGCTGAGCTTCTCTTAACGGGTGTTTCTAAAAGCATCCTCTGTGCTGACCTGTGGTCAGGGAGCAATGTGCATCTTCCTGTCTAGGTGTGTGGTCCCTGAGCAGACTAATGCTACAGGGGGGTGTCGCAGAGGGGCGTTGTCCAGCATCCATAGCATTAGTGCCACGGGAGAGTGGGTGATGTGTTGCTCGTATGGCGTCTGCCCTCACCGGCCTCTCGGCCTTCCCCACATGTGCCTCAGCATGCCGAGCCCAGGCGGAAACTGCCCAGCGCTTGTTCTGCATTTCACATGCCTTTCACCGTGAACTTGGGCAGCTCCCGTTGGAAGCTGGCATCTGCCTCTCCTGCCAGAGTGCCAGTGCTGGCCCTTAAGCCAGATTTTCTTTAAGGGCATGTCGAGAATGGTTTCCTCCTGGTAGTGCAACGCCTCATGTCGTTGAAGGCCATTCGCTGACTCTGCAGGCCTCCTGCGGGACCGTTGGTGCCCATCTCCTTGGCTCATCATTGGGAGTGGCCCATTGAGTTTTTTCGTTTGGAACTTGTGTAGCCTATGTTGGAAACTGGGTAAGGTTTAGGGGCTTCTAGCCCTCCTTTTGGCCCAGCCAACTTGCCACGTGTGTTTTGGAGCTATGTTCCAGAGGGCCTGTGTGTTGCAGAGGACTTGGTGGCAGGGAGTCGGCCCCCTTGGGCCTGCCTTCCACAGGGATTCACAGATCCGTAGATGCGGAGCTTTGGCCACATCTAAAGCAGCTCCAGAGCTGGGAGCTGGCCCCCGGCAGGGTGGTGTGTGTTGGGGCAGGCCTGTACTTTGACGCCAGGGGGCATGTAGCAGGGGTCCTGTGAGGGGCAATCCTAGCGGGTGGGGTCGGCACTGTTCTGTGAGCACCATTTACAGGGCAGAAACTGTCTACAGTAGATGCCCAGGACACTGAGGTACTTAAAATTTGTCAGCCAGGTGTCGGAATGGGCACTGTCTTAAAATACATCTCAGAGGGGGTGGTTGTCTTACAGGCACTGTGGAAAGTGGGAACTGTGTGTTTCCAGGAGCATGCCTGCCTGTGTGCGGCGTCCAGGTCAAACTGAGCCTTTCTTCCACTTCCCTTGGTAGCAGAGATGTGGGAGGTGCTTGAGGTGTGCGCAGGTGTGTCCCACTGCTGCCCCAGGGAAGGGGGTCGGAGAAGGTGCAGCAGGCGCTTGCTTTGGCTACACCAGATCTTACGCAGGCCACCCAAGCCCACTCCAGCAGGCAGAGAAGCCAGAATGTTCTTTTCCCTGGATCTTGGCTGTTGAGTCTGGAGGGCACCTTCCAGGAGACACAGATTGGCCTCGTTGGAGAGAGTTCACTTGCCCTGTGGCTGCTGCAGCCACCGCGTCTCCTTCCCCCTTTATCTCGCTGTGATCTGCAGGGCGAAATGAGAAGGGGCAGCTGGGACACGGCGACACCAAGAGAGTGGAAGCCCCCAGACTCATCGAGGGTCTCAGCCACGAAGTGATCGTGTCGGCAGCATGTGGGCGGAACCACACCCTGGCCTTGACGGGTAAGGAAGTGGCTGGTTCCTTCTAAGTTAGGCAAGAGGCCAAATGGTCCACCTTGGGGGTGGGGTGGGGTCACCCTCGGGCAAGACTGGAAAGATGCCCTGGGACCCCGGATGGTGGGTGGCTTCTTGTGGGCATCAGGAGCCTCCCCCATGGTCACGGGAAGCCTGTCAGGGAGTCTGAGACGTCTCGTCGTGTTTTTCTGCACACCCTGTTTCTGGTGTGAATTGGTTTTGCCCCAAAGTATCCGTTTCACCGTATTTTGGACTCTCACTTACATTCTGCCTGGCAAATGGGCTGTTTTTATCATTCTGATGCCTTTGATTCCAAATCTAGCTCAAAACATGCAGCAGTATTTTTCCTTCCTTCCAGACACGGGCTCCGTGTTTGCATTTGGGGAGAACAAGATGGGGCAGCTGGGCCTCGGCAACCAGACAGATGCCGTCCCCAGCCCCGCGCAGGTGAGTGCCTCGGGCTCCGTGGCTCTTTGCTTCTCTTGACTTTTGTGTTTGGTTTTTTGAGGGGCTGTGTACTTCTCCCCATTGACCCCTTGTGAAAAGAGGGTCCAGATGCCTTAAGTGGAAGTCACGTTATGGTCTTTAAAACAGGTTTAGTTGGTGGTCAGGCTGAAAACTGTTTTTCTTTCTAAATGGGAGAAATTTGTTAGAGAGGCCTTGATGTAAGCCTGTTCTATTCCAAAGAAAGTGAGAAATGTTATATGGATGTAATTGTATTTATCTGCAAATATTTTGTTTGCATGAACTCACCTGCCAGGTGCTTAGAACGCAAATAAGAGGTAGGTGTCTCTTATTCCTAAGAAGTTTAGTATTAAGTTGGAGCGGTGAGGTTTGTACCTTAAAAATGAACTACTAATATAAGACAGAAGAATGCTAAGTGCCTGGTTAGTGGTTTAGATGATGAAGGGGGGAGGAACTTGGATTTCTTGATCTTAAAAAGAGACAGTGGCTTTGAACTCTGCTCTGTAGTGGGAAGGGGCGGGTGTCATGAGGGTGTTGCTTTACATACATTCTGAGCTTTGATTGTAGAAGTGCCCTCAGCTTTTGCCTTCAGAATTGTTGAGTTTACTAAATACCTTTGTAACCTATAATTGTTTCACACCATCATGCAGGGAGGTAGAGACTTTTTATCAGTCCTTTAAAAAATGACTGAAAATCTACTGTCTTTTCTTTTCAGATAATGTACAACGGCCAGCCAATTACCAAAATGGCCTGTGGGGCTGAATTCAGTATGATAATGGACTGCAAAGGGAACCTCTATTCCTTTGGGTGCCCTGAATATGGTCAGCTGGGTATGGAAATATATTTTTTAAAAGCTCTGTAATCTATCTGGATATCAGAACCAGAAATCAGTGTGGGGTTGCACACATGTGTTCGAAACGTGGGTAATTGATCTCAGATAATAGCCTTTATCCATTAAGTGGATCTCGCGTTTAATGGAACAGTGTGTCGTAATTCACAGGGTTATAGAGTGTTCCGCCGACTGCCTCAATGAAAAAGTCAGGACTGGAGTCTGACAAAAGATTCTTTTCTCTGATTGGGGAATTCGTTTATATAAAAGGATTTCAAAGTTAAAAAAAAAAACACCTTCATTGAGTGTCACATTAAAAGGTTTGCCTTTATTGAAAATACGAAAACTGCACGAGATGAAGGTGGTTCCGAAAACCCGGCCTGGGCGTTGTCTCAGCTCACACGTGAGGAGCCGCGTTCTGTGTGCAGGGACCGGCCTCCCGGTGAGCGTCCCCAAACGGAATGCCCCGTCCCCGGAAACATTGCCCTGTGCCTGTGTGTCACTGAGTAGAAAAGAAAGACTCGGAAAGCGCTTCTCAGTGAGCGGGAAGGTTTTCCATCCTCCCCTCCCGCCTGGGCCTGGCCTGGGCCTGGGGAGCCGGGAGCCGGGAGCCGGGAGCCGGGAGCCGGGAGCCCGGAGCCCGGAGCCCGGAGCCCGCCCTGCCCCTGCGGTGGGCGCGGCGCGGGCGCCCCCTGCCGGCCGACCCGCGCGCCGCGGCCGGGATCTGGGTTGCCGGGTCTCGCGTCACCAGAAGCAGGCAGATGGAAAGCGTATAAATAGAACGCGGAGACGCGATGGCCTTGGACCTCAGGGAACGGTGACTTTGTGAAACTAAATATACCCCGAGTCAGAAGTGAATAAGGAAGAGCAGCCCTGGGCGCGCATTCCTGTTGGTTGCCGGGGAGTTGCCGGCCTGTTGGAGAGCCGTTTCCATGGCCACGGCCGCTCCCGGCGAGATACCGGAAGTGCAGGGCTGTGCTTCCGGCCACGTGCGAGGCCCTGCAGCCTCTAGGGCCTCCCCGACTGCGAGCTTGGCGGTCCTAGCAAGCCGGGAAAATGCAGGGGTGGTGGTAGTGGTAGTGGCTAGCGTTCGTGAGCAGTCGCTGTGGCCGCCACTCGCCATTTACGCACTTTGTACACTTACTTGCCCTGTTTGTACTCACTTAAAGGTAGTTTGAGAAGTTGGCTTGATTTGGGGCTGTAGAATTGGTCACTCTTGACGTGCCAGCTTTTTTCAAAACATGTTTTCGATCTCGTTGTCTAGAGCCAGGCAGATCCCTTTTAGAATTAGAGCATAAACGTGACCTTGGAAATGTGTCCCCAGCACACACACACACTCACTTGCGCTCTCTTTTTTGCAAGGCGTGTCCTGGGTCAGGTAAGGCAAAGATAAGAATGCCATCTAACTCTAGTTTAACGAGCTGTCACCTTTCAAGAGCAGTAGGAAAGCCCCCTTGTTCCAAGTTTTCTGGAGCAGCTGCTGGCCTGTAATTTGGGAGAAACCAGGTATTGCGTGCAGCTCCTTTAAAGGAGGTAGAAGGGGAAAACAGCCCCAAGATGTGCTCCCTCTGCCTCTGGGACTGTCTGGGTTAGTATCCATCACTGTGATCCCACATAAAAGGAACTCCAGAAGTCATTTGACTGTTTTATTGAAACCTTCTCCAGAAGAGTGCAGGTGTCTGAAAAATACCATTTTTGTGTGAGAAGTGGCTCTCTTGTCCTATGCACTCTATTTACTATGATGTCCTTAAATTCATCTCAGCTTTGAAGTTTGGGGAGTCTCTTAGTGGCAACCTCAGACTTTGAAATTGA